GCTCGCAACGTACGTCACAAACCGCATTGATCATTATATACAAATGGCACAGGGGACACCACAGAACAAAACACCAACATTAAGCCTTTTCAATAAATCCCACAAAACTCCCCAAGTTCTCCAAAATCTGTCATGAAGATCTACCTCGTGTGAATGTAATTTTTTCATTTGAATAATAAAGAGCATCTCATTTAGCCAGTGATTAAAACATGGAGCATCAGTGGATTTCCAATTAAGAAGGAATATTATCTTGGCAGCAACCATACCAGTTATTAGAGCCTGTTGTTGAAAACAGTAGTTTTTACCACTTCTCAGAAGCCAAGAATCGCTAAAACGCGATCCAGTTGAAGATTATTGAAAACCAATCGAATATTTTAGACCAAAAGTCAGATACAGCAGGGCTGAGCCAAAATGTGACAATGTCCCTTAAGCTATGTTGCACTTATTACATTGAGGAGAAATAGTCATATATCTTGTTGAGTTTAGTTTCTGAATAGTAGATCCTATGTAAAACATTAACTGAATCAACTGGTATCTAAAGTTAACCAAGCATTTGCGCATGTTGAATAATCCTTTTTGCCAGATTTCGTCCGTCACTATTTCATTCCGTTCTTTGGCCCAAGCCTCTTTAAAGTTGGCATCGTTGACTGGACTTGATGTAGAAACAAAATGAGAGATCAAGTGTTTAAACTCTGGATGGGAATTAAACAAATCGTAAATTACATTAGTCTTTGGTTTAGTTAAATATTGTGGAATATTAGCTTGTACATAATGTCTGACTTGTAAATACTGAGAAGTTAGACTGCTGAAAATCATATTTTACTTTCAGTTGCATAAAAGAAGCAAATTTATCATCTATATACAAATCTTTAATACAACATAGGCCCTTTTGTTTCTAAATTGTAAACACTCCATCAACAAAAGATGCTTGAAATAAATGATTGTATGATATTGGCGTGTACACTGAAACATTCGGCATCTCAAATGAGCTCCTTATTTGATTTAAAATCCTTACTGCGTTTCTCAAGATCCAGTTATTGGCACAAATTTTCACAGGCGTGGGTTTTCAGAAGAGCAAAACTGGGAGCGAGGAATTTTGTACAGATAATGCTTCGGCTCTCAGCCACAAAGGGGAAGTTTTAAGTCTTGCATCTCTTGGGGGGGGGGGTGGGTGGCTACCCCACTGCCAATAAGTAAGGATCCTAAGATTTGCAGCCCAATAGAAATGTCTAAACTGGGAGGGTGAGGCCTCCTCTCAACCTAGGTTTCTGTAGGTGCATTTTGGATAGACGAGGAGTCTTGCAGATCCAGATAAATGACATAATTGTATCAAGTTGCTTAAAAAATGTTGCTGGCAAATAAATAGGAAGATCTTGAAAAATATACAAAAATCTTGGAAGTATATCCATTTTAGTCGCATTAATATGACCTATCATCGACAGAGAAAGCAAATTCCATTTTTCAATGTCCCTCCTAAGTTTGCCCATCAAACTCAAAATGTTAATCTAAAAATCTGTTTTGGGTTTCTAGGGATATTAATACCAAGATATGTAATATGGTCATTAGCAATTTTAAATGGTAGGGAGTTTACAAAGGTTGGACATATATTCTTTGTAATAGACAGGAATTCACTTTTACTCCAGTTAATTGCATAACCTGAGATTGCACTACATTTCAATATAGCTTAAAAGATTGGGTTTCAGCAGGATTAGTAACACTGATCAACAGAACATCTGCATATAGATTTACAAGACATTCAGCATCTTGTATTTTAATGCCATGAATATCAGGATGGCTCCCTTATGCCAATAGCTAGTGGCTCTAAGGCCCCCCTATTCAAATCTGGCCCTCGATTCCAAATCCAGGCCTTGTTTTCTAGTCTCCCAGGTAGTTAGCTTAATAACTTCTGGCTCTAATTGGCCAGAGGCTTCACAACTGGCTCTCAGGTAAAGGAAACTGGAAAAACAGCAGTGCTCGGCCCTTGAGGACCGTGATTTGAATAGCCCTGGGATCTCCTTGACACACACCACGATGCAATTCAAAAAGGCGTGATCTCTCAGTATTAGTCAGTATATGGGAGGTGGACCGTGCATACGATGATCTAATCCAGGTGATAGGTTCATCTCCAAATCCAAACCTTTTGAGCACTTCAAACATATATGGCCATTCTATCTGGTCGAAAGCCTTTTGAGCATCTAACGAGAGAATTGCAGCAGTGTTCCCCTTTGTTAAATCTGAATATAAGATATTGAGAAGTAATCTCACATTACAAAATGAAAAGCGGCCAGGAATAAGTCCAGTTTGGTCAGGATGTATAATCGTTGAAATATAATTATTTAGTCTACAGGCTACAACTTCATCTTTTACTCTTTTCAGGATTAAACAAATATTGGCTTCATATAGCGATTTTAGGATTTTTTTCCTTTTTAAAAGAATAATTTATCATTCTTAAGAGGGGGGAGTTTTATACTAAAGGCCTTATAAAATTCACAACCAAACCCATCAGGGCCTGCAGCCTCACCTGATGGAAAAGAGTGAATGGGGTTAATCTCCTTAAATAAATGACTTTGTTCAAGCTTTACCAAAAGTTTTAAGACTAGTGATATATTAGGCTGCGATTTTTAAATACAAATAAACTGTTTTGGCTGGATTTTTTTTTTTCTTCAAATGTAAGTTTCATTTTCAGAATTATCTAGACAGAATAAAAGATAAGATCATACTGCGGTTTCTAAGCGCTTTCTAACAGGGACTCGGGTAACGGCATGAAAAGCTTTTTAGTTGGCATAGAACCAAAGAGATTCTAGGAATGGTGACAGTCATCCTTTGGACTGTTGCCTTGTTTTTAACATGCTTTCCACGATGCATGCAAGTCCTGAAGTCTAGTTTGCCGATTTCGCTCCTACAAAAGTTGTTTATCATGAGTGTCTATATAGACTGGTCGCCTTGTAGCCCTTTGGCAGAGTATTGCTTGTGGCTTGGTTGCATCTAGTGTCAGCATACAGGAAGCGTGTTGGTTTCCTGTACAAGTTACTCTGTTTATGGCATCTACATTTACTTCTGCATACCTGTAGTGCTTTTCAGTATCAGCCCTTAACTCATCATACCAGATGTTTGCTAATTTCCAGCATGGGAGACGGGGATCAAACAGAAGTACTCTTATGTATGCACTTCATGATGTGTGGGTTGATTTTGTTTTTTATTTTTGCATCAGGATAAACATGTTGTTTCTGAATTTGACTTTTTTCTAGTTGTCTCTGCTTGTCTTTTTGAGATTTCATTGGTTTGTGCTCGTCACAGCTCTTTCACCTCTTCCTTTCCTCTCAAAACCCTACGTTGCTGGAAGCTTCGCGGCCGAATAAGGTTTTAAGACTAATTTCAGTGATAACGTGCGGTGAGAGGTACATGCCCTTCCTGGGGGACGACACGCCCACAGCAGATGCTTGGGTGAAAAACCGCTTATCAGAGCAAACCTGGGATGCTCCTACGTGTCAGTCAAGCTGCGGTGGAAATGTGGGGTGGAGGAGAATGTGTCTGGGTAAAAGCTGTCATCTTCCAGCCATGAGCTCATAATATGGGCTTAAAAATGTCACGTTATGGACAGCGTTGCTTCCTGAAAAGTTTTTGCTGATTGTGACAGGTACCTGGTGGGTAGTTTTGGTTTTGCCGCATCACGTAGGAACTCAGAAATAGACGGTTAACCGTTTACCGGCAATAACGTATTTAATCACGTTTATGATTCTCATACGCTATAAAGTTCAACTTAATTAGAAGTATTTTGTTCTTGATTTTTGATGGCAACGTGTGATGCACCTGACATTGAATACAATGTCCAACAGTAGTCAGCAGAAATTTTCATACCTGGTGACCGCAAACACCATTCCTGCAGTCTCAAACCCAGCAATTCTCTCTGACCAGATCATTTAACTCTGACTGTGTTATGAGATGTGGATCACCTGATGAGGGGGGAGGAGGTCAGGAGCATGCACTGATTTCAGTGCGGTGTCGCACTCCCCACATGACAAACCACCTCAGGGATGAGAACCTGAGTGTAGCCATGTGGCAGATGATTCCTCAGCACCACACAAGTCCGAATGGACGCTGATGTGATTTGGATGTGATTTTCATGATCAGCAGCCAAAAATCTATGAGAAACATCCAACACTGTTCAAGAAGCGAAAACTTTGTTGTGCACGTAATTACACCAAGGCAATGAAATGCTAAGATTATCTAGGAATAGAGAAGTAACTGGCTCATATGTTAGAATAATTCCACCCCGGAAGCCCGTCATATGGCATTCACAGCTTCAAAATCTGTTTCTTGAGAGGAATGTTAGGCAGACGCCCCCCGAAATACTAATTTAATGCTATTTAAATACTTAACGGATGCCGGTTGACAATTTCGCTTTGCTTTTCATTTTTTTGTTACGTGATTATGACACTTTTCGTAAATAGTGTGACTTTTTGTCTTTATTAGTAATTAGTCATTTTAAATTCTTGAATTTAAGTCCTAAAATTTTAATAGAGTACTTTTGGACTGAGCTGTTATTCCACTAGTGCCCTTCCTGTTAGCGTTAAAAAGTCTGGCCGTTCTCTTCTGACGGCATGGTGGCGCAGCAGGTTAGCAGTGTTGCCTCACACTTCTGGGCCCAGGGTTCGAATTCCATGTGTGTGGAGCTTGCAACCTCCCCCGTGTTTTCAAGGGGTTTCCTCTGGGTACTCAATCTGCCTCTCACCAACCCCCTCCTCTAGGGGCATAACCCTGCACTCCTCCATCAGCTGAAAGATATAATCTCTCAAACATGTCCTGAGTCTGGCCCAGGATCTCATGCTGTTGGACGTGCCCAAAGCACTTCCTCAATGAGGCATCCAGAAGGTATCCAAGATAGATGTCTGATCTGCTACAGCTGACTATTTTTGATTCAGTGAAGTAGCTACTTTGATGTCAAAGAGAACCACGGTTAGGGCTGGATTTAAAAAAATTGATTTTCTGATTCAGATTGATCAATCAATCATTTGCATAATTTGATATGGAATTGTACGATGCCAAGACCGTTTTTCCATGGCTGTGTGGAGCTTAACACTAGATTTATTTAAAAGTGTATTTACCCTGTTAGTTTCGTGCAGCTGAACTCCTGCAATGAGATCTGAAAGACAGTAATAAACAAACATGGTGGGAGCTGCTCCGCGGAAGGTACCTTCAAGCCTAAAGGCAGGTGTCTGGATGTATTTTGTTGGGACTTTATAAATAGGAAGATGGTGAGGAACTGGACAAAAACGAAGTCAAAACCATTTAATGAGACATACTAAATATGTGCAATCTTAGCACTTACTGTACTGGTCATGTTAAATAAAACGTTTGTTAATGCAGCCACTCTGGTCAATTCTTAACGTACATATTAATATTTTTAATAATGCACCAAGTCAAAGGGTTCCTTGTGAAATTTACGGCAAATTGGTATTGTAACTAAAATCTCCTTAAATCAAATTTGAATTGAGTTGAATGGAATTGACTTGCAACCTTGTGAATCAGAATTGAATCGATTCAGGAAATCAGTGGAGATAGCCAGCCCTAACTATGGTAGATGCATGTTTAATTCTGTAAGCTCTCACTCAATAAAATCAAATATCTTTTTGAATGATTTTTCCTGATTTTCTTGGTTCCCCGCTCTTGTCAAGTGATGCCTACGCTATAATGTTATAGTGTAAGATTACCAGCAACAGAGGAGTATCTTCAGGCTTTGCTCTGCAGGGTTTCTCTTGGCACTGCCCTGGAATTCGGCATAGTGGCCTTTTTTTTTTTGACCCAAGAACATAGACCAGCTGAGGTCTTGGTATGGTTCTGAAGGTCTGTGGGGAACATAGTGGGCCGATGTGGTGCTGGGACTTCTGTGATATTATATGCCCAAAAGATGGGTTGGGTTTGGCAGGCTGGGTAACAGGGTCATTGCACTGGCATCTTCTGAATGGGATTGTCCAATAAAAGGACCTCTAAGGCTGCAGAAAAAATATTGCGCCAGAGACTCATCCATTTGGTCATTGAGAGTTAACTGTAGTTACCTAGGTATATATAAAGTGTATTTGTTTACAGCGATGAGTCAAAGCATTGTCCACTCCCACTTGAAGCGAACGATGTCAACTATCTCGTAAAAATAACGCATATCACGGTCTTGGATATATTAGACGGTCAGCTAATATTTGGTACTTTGTCATTGTGCTGAATGTAGAAGAATTGAGCAGGAATAAAGACTTAAGTGACTTTAATTAGGGCCAAATTGTTATGACATTGACATGCAGCGTTTTTACAATATAGTTGACCTTATCCGTTTCACGTTGGAGTGGTTAAAATGTTTTGTGATGTTTATGAAGCCAGAGTAAAACAGTATTGAATTACTACATTTTCAGAACCTCCTTTGCCAAAGCACTTTATAGTAACTCCAGTTGTAATAGCATGTTAACGTAGAAGATGCAATAACTAATCTGCTGGAGGTTAAAACGAATTTCTCTTTGGGAATCTTTCCCTTTGCATTTCCTGATATCAATTTACCATGGAAATACAGTTATGATAAATACCTGAAAATACACACACACACGCACACACACAAATCATGATTGTGAATTTATCTCCTGGTCCTGTTCAAGTTGGTCACAGCTATGTGAAACCAAACACACACCGTTAAAATTGGCCCTAACAAAAGGGCTGCAGTTCTAAGTTCACTCAGATCAGGCTTTTGAAGTGGTTTCTTGCTTTGTGTTACTGGAAGGCAGCCTGGTGAGTTGTTTTGCTGCAGCGTGCATCGATGGAAGGCCCGATGAACTTTCACACCTGGTAGTTCAGTCTTCCTCTCCTGCGGTATGTTTAGCAACAAGATGCATGCTGCAGAATTTGATTTTATGTAGATTTAGTAGCCACAGAAAATTCATGTGTGAAAGGCAGGCTTTTGGTCTGTATAGAACATGTAACATCTAACAATCGCATCTCATTCTGGTGTGTCTGAAAATGAAACCAAAATTAGCTTGCTCTAGGTCAAAGTGGTCAGAGCAGCTTTTTTCATCTAAAATGAAAGCCGTCTTTGCGAGGAGACAACGAACTGGCGCAGAACGAAAATACTCCTGTGAGTAACAGCTTCATTTTTCCACTCATCATAAACCGCTGAATTAAAGCACGGTCTTATCGCGCCAGGACGGGAATGCCCCTCATCAGCGCACGAGGCAGTCCTGACACCAATAGGTATTTGGGCTCTCGTGGCCTCGCTGGACCAGCAGTTCTGACAGCAGCCGCAAAACCTGCACGATCTTGCTACAGTTCAGTATTCGGCTGATTTGGACAGATATCAAGAATTTCAGTTGTTTCAGATATTGATCAGACAATTTACAGAAAAAAGGCGCTAGTACAGCATACAGCACCTTAGTGCCAAGTTTTCATTTGCAGAAGTAAATACTACCAATGGGAGTCACATTTGCAAATACCTTCAGTGCAATTGTTTATTTAAACAAAATCATTATTACAGTTTTATAAATACGCTTTTAAATAAATAGAATTAAATAAATAAATACATTATATTTTAGTAAGATGTTTTAGAGCTTATGACATACATTCAAGTAAAACCCTGAGAACTGTCTTGTATTTCACATCAGCAGTAGAACATTCAACAAGTTTACGCACACATGTTAATTTACAATACAAAATAAATAAAGTCCATAATGTTCTTAAGCATACAAGGCACAGTGTAAACCTTATAAAAAGTACAAAAATAATTTGAAGGCACGAGCGATTATTATTATCGTTATCATTATTATTCAACCAATGATAAAGTAAAACTGTATTTTCTGGTACAGCAAACTAGATTAAGAGGTGGTGCAGTTATCGAGAGAGCTGTTGTATTGCTCTACGAGATTCTTAAATTTGTCGAGAAAGGACTTGTAAGACACCGTCTCGTTGGTCTTAAAGATGCACTTCGCATCCTTCTTGACCTAAAGAAAGAGAGAAAATTTAAAAAGTGTTGCCTTGGATAACAAATGAATATTCATTTAGTTATAGTGATCTAACAGCCGCTTACATAGCTACTTTTTTGTAATGTGCAGAATTAGCAGTACTAGTAATAATTAGTAACAGTACTTACTCTTATCTTTTCCAAAATTCCTTTGACGTGAAGAACGGTGCTTGGTTTTTTGACGGTGCATTTGCTCTCTATCGTTTCCAATTCATTCTGAAAGTACTTCGCAGTTTCGGAACAATTCTAAATAAATAAAAAAAAAAATACCGCATAATTATGATTTAGTATTTTTCGATCGTCCTTCAGTGCGACTCCAGGGCAGATTTAGTGGAGATAAAATCGGCACAGGTGACAGCTGCAGCAGTGCGGTCTGTTCTTGGCTTTGGCTGCTCGCACGAATGAGAAGCGAAGCTCTGCCTGTGCCGTTTGCTGTCATGCAGTGCTGAGGTCATGCAAGACGCTGCGCGTAACTGTGCATGAAGCTTTTCGCACTGATCCCCCCTATATGCAAGCATTATATCCAGAGCCATGTTTTAAAACAGTCAAATACAATTAATCACGCTTACCGTGCTTTCTAGGGGTAGGACGAATAGCGCAGTGTTATTGTCCTAAAACGAAAAAAAAGAGATTTTGGTACATGTTAGGAGAGTCTGAGAAGAAATATAGTGCATTGATAGGTTTTATCAGTTATCATAAATAAAGAACAGTTACTTACACATGCCACGTCTTCCTTCAGGTTGTCCATTATAATTGAAAGTTTATTTATACGTGTTTTCATACCACACTTCGGCATAGAAAGTCCGCAAGTCAGAAGGAATAGCACTCCTGAGATGGTCAAGATACAGCTGTTCATGTTGTCTCAGAAAGCAGCTACTGTATACTTCTCTAAAGTCAAGGACGGGCAAAACAAGATGCTCTGATCCTGGATGCACATGGTATTTATACTGTTCTACGTGGAAAATCACAGGGTGGGCAGAGGTAAAGGTTTAGATATTACAAATGCAGAGAGAGAGAGACGGTTGCCTTGTGCCTTTTTTTTCTTTGATGACTCTTTGGAATTTTTAAGAGTGTAGAGATCGGTAAAATCCCTCTGGTGTCCCACACCTGGGTTTGTATGTAAGGTTTCACTTTGTTCCACCTGACACTAACCAGCCATGTTCCTGGCGAAAATGAAGTGAGAGCCCTTTTTTGGTTTCTATACTCTTATTTTTTAAACACGTGCCCAATATTTATTAGATAATGCATTATTTCCTAAAACACAAATAGTACATATGAGTCTTCTTTCAGTCACTTTCGTGAGCCAGGATGTGGTCACTAAAGGATCAAAAGTAATTAAAAATGTCAAGCAAACAAGCAAAAAAATAAATATATTTATTGGAAGAAATTGTTAAATAATGTATCCTTGGGTCAGAATACTTTTTCATACATTACTATTACTGTAATCCATCCATTTTTAGTAACTGCTTCTCAAGCTAAGTTTGTGATGGTCCAGAGCTGATGCCAAGGGGAGCTAGAGTGTGACATCGTTTTAGTTGAGACAGTCGTTTGCAGGAAAGGATTATCAGGGAAGCGACGATCAGAACACTAGACCGACTTTAGTGTGTATTAAAGAAGCTGGTTTTCACATTGTGCGGCTGCCTCTCGCTTGTCTGGATTTCCTCTAAGGAATCTAGGTCTCTGCCTAACAAAGGTATGCCATTCAGGAGAGCCGGTGCATTATCAGTGGATGTTTGCGTATTCTGCAGTGACCTGGTACCTTGTCTGCTCCTTCATGCCCTGTGCTTCCTTGGTCAAGCCACAGCATTGTGATTTTAAAAAGATAAGGGGTAACTGAATATTTATGGAATACAGCACAATGTGTAGCACTGTGACCTCACAGCTCCTGGGAGAGGGGTATAACCCCCAACTCAATTGTGTGTGCTGTGTTTGCCCAAAGACATGCAGTTAATCGGCATCTCTAAATGTGTGATTACGAGTGTGTGTGTTTTATGTGTATATTACATTGTGGGGACCAAATAATAATTGATATTTCATTGATCCCCATGAAGAAATTCTCTTTACCTCTCCCCCAACTTGCTCTCTGTAGATGAGAGCAAGCTGGCTGTGAAGGGCAGCCGCCCAAAGTGGACCCAAGGGCCTTGCTCAAGGACCTGCAGATGAGTCAAGGTCAGGCTTGAACTGGCAACCTTTTGACCACAGGTGCAGAGACTTAGCCCATTGAGCCACAGGCTGCCTCCTAAGGGAGGTCCCCACAATGTGATAAAAACCAGTTATCTTGCTGTTGTGGGCACTGTTTTATTCAGTCCCCACAAGGGGAAACTCAGATTTATAAAAATCTGTGACTGCAATCAAAAAACTAAAAATGGCAAAAGTCTTGTATTTCATTTGGTTACTTATGGTTAAGGTTAGGGTGGGGTAGGGGTTCAGGTCGTCATTGTTGGGGAATTAATGGACAGTCCCCACAATGACATAAATACAAATGTATGTTTGTGTGTGTGCGTGCGTGCACTAGTGTGTGTGTGCGTGTGTGTGTGTGCGCGCACGTCCTTCGATGCACCAGCATCCCATCCAGGGTGTGCCCCAAACTAACTGCTATTTGACTATACCACTAAAGTAAGTCTAACTTGGGCATCCCTGTTTGACATCTATTTCTTTAGTTAGAAAATACTTTTGTTCAATGTAATACACCAATTACCCTTCATCCTGGGCCCGGATAAGCAGTTTGGTTGATGAATGGGAGTGGTGCCCCATGAAGAACATGGCTCACAATGGTCTTACACTGAATAAGTAGTCGAGGAAAAAGGATGCGACGCCATAGCCATGAAGTCAATACTGGGGGGGACCAAGACCGTGATTATAATACAGTATATATTGGGAGGGGGGGAGCATTGTGAACTCATCTGAATATTGGTGGGGATGTATCCATTATAATTACAGCCTTGGATGGATGGATGGAGGGATAGATGGGTGGATTTTTTTCTGCTTTTATTAAAAAGTACATTATATACATTGTAGATTTTCAACAGGGAAAGGGGTTCTGATTCACAGATGATGTGCTTTGAGATGAAAAAGTTCCTCTGGCTGTATCTGTATTGTACATTTTGTATAGTTGGCTGTAAAGAGGCTTGTGATTATCACTATTCCTTGAGTTAGTTAAGTATTGATACAATAACTAGTAACAGTCTGATGACAGGCTGATGTAATGCTGGGGGAATCCTTCCCAGGTAGCATCAGGTCTTGATTGTGTATATGCAAATTATCATGCTGTGCCAATTCATAAAATGCTATCATGCAGTGCTGAGGTCCTGGATAGATTGACTCATGTAACTTAATGTAAAGAACATTGATGTCAAACATGATTGTCCAGTTTGGGAAAGTCCCAGGCTGAAGTGTCATATTCACCCTGAATAATGTCTGTTCTGAAAAAGGGGATTCATTTGTTAATTGGCTATTTTTAACTTCCATTGTTTTTCCCTACAAATTATCTCAGAAGTTAATTATATCTGATTGTGCCAGTACAATACATTATGATTAAAACTACTTGGGTCAGGAGGTCTACTAGCTTGTGTTGGGTTTAATTTGATGTCCGTTCATTTATTTAGCAAATTATTTGTCCAAAGTAATATGCAAGTGAGGAAAGCTTGGGGATAGAGAGCAGGCTCAGCCAGTGTCTGTGGCACAATTCAGGGTTTGAACAAACAACCTCCTGAACAGGGGTAGAGATCCCTAAACCACTGAGCCCATTATTAATGGTCATTTCCCATTTCTGAAGTCATCATAAATTTGAGTTTTCCTAAAATATAAGTAATGTGCAACATTGAATGCACCCCCCCCCCCTCTGAACTTAATTTCTTGTATATAACTGCACTGGAAAAATGACCCAGTGACTCTCAGCAGGGGGACTTTTGGTTAGACTCCCCCAAAGAAGGTCACCATTTTCATCTCATTTTGACTTTCAGGGGGTAGCACTCTGCTGCAAACTGGTCAACCTTGTTAGGAAAAGCAGAGGAAACATGACATCCTCCATCCTCCACCTACAACCTGCATAGAAAATGTTAATGTGATCTATGCCTATTTTTTGCTGAAGCAAAAAATGAAAAGGGAAGGGTATTGGTCACTCTCTTTGTTCGTGGTAAAGGTGTGTAAGCAGACTGTGGTGTCATGAGACGGCAAGGTTTCTTGTAAGTTCCACATTTTGTTCTCACTTTTATGACGTAAGCTTGTGGTTTATTTTACCCCCACAGGGGGCACCCAAGACCATCTGCACTAAACTCTATTGACTCTGAGCTCTATTAAAACCATCAAGTTCATCTAGTCATTTCCACATCACTTCCAGCAGTGAAATCAATGGTCCAAGAATATTGTGCTAATGACCACATGCTCTACTGACTCACAATATTTATGTATTTATTCATTTAGCAGACACTTTCATCCAAAGCAACAAACAATAATGAAATCCAGGCAATTCAACCCCCTGAACCTCTTAAATGTGTAAAGACCTCAACCCTGCCCCCCCCCCCCCAATGCTGAACCCAAAGTTATGCCCATGTGTAGTTCTGAAAGGACTGAATGGACAATGGACTGAATGGAATACACATGGAAATGAGTTCATTGTCAATGTAATGACATGTGATACGGAAGGAATAACCTCCAAGAAATTTGTACGTTTTGTAGTACAACTTCATTTTCCTTAAGATGTGGTTTTGAAAATGTAAAGAGGTTTCATGACTGAAGGAGTAACTCGCGTCACTTTTACTTTGAGCCATTAAAGGGGTTTCCCCATTTCACCTGCTGTCACTCAGAGATGACACAAACATGACAACAGGTCGCGCTTTGCTCTTGCCTTACTTCATAAGTAAGCTGAAACAGGCCCCGCGGGGTGGCTGTACCATCTCTGTATACCTCTTTGAAATGTCTGTGATTTTTATTTCATGGCAGGTACAAACGAGCACCGTAACACCAAACTAGTTTCCACAGCAACGATGGCGTGAAATCTATAGATGCTGACGTAAGATGCTTATCTCTTCTGGCTTTTCCATGCCATCCATGTAGGTGGAGAGGAACATGGCGGTATCCTGGGAAACCCCCCTCTCCTCTCCCCTCCCCTGCTCCCCCCGCCTTCCCTTCCATATCACCACTGCTACCACAAGCATACCCCAGTGAAACATCCGGCTGTTTGGATGAGCTAGTTCACACGGTATAGGGGCTTTAGATAATAACCACCTCATTTCGTGTTTCCCTTGAAAGGACCAATCAAAGCCAAAACATCCACCACAATCTTATTATGTAAGAACGCTCCAAGGAGACATGCTGATGTTTGACATCTATCCATCCATGTGTCTTCAAGCCCCTAATCATGAGTAAGGTGTAATGGGTCTTAGAGCATCCCAAAATAGTACCAGAGACTCAAAACACCCATTTTGCCAGCAGAGGGCCCCCCTAGGTAGAGTTCGCTGATCGTGGGGGTGCCCCAGGTTAGGGTTACAATGGAACGTTTTCAGTTTTTTAGGACGGGTTACGATCCCCACTTTGGAATCTGTGGTATAGAGCACAAGGCAGGACATCAGGG